TGGCTCAGTTGGTTAAGCATCTGCCTTCAGCTCAGGTCATGATCCCAGGGTCCTGGGATTGAGCCCCACATCAGGCTCAGCAGGGGGTCTGCTTCTCCCTCTACCTCTGTCCCCTCTGCCCCACTGCTTGTGCTCTCTCTCAAATAAAATCTTTAAATGCCATCTTGCTGCTTTCTGTATGTACCATCTGGTCTTTGAAGTTGAATGACCAAAAATATATAGAATATATTATTCTCCAACATGTTTCTAATATGGTGCTTTGTGGTTTAAGATAAAATAACTGAAAAGGACTCTATATAATATAGACTGTCTCCTCTGAGATGCAATTTTGGTGGAAAAAACCTCCCACTATATTTGGACATCTGCAGTATGAAAAGATGATTCCTAAATTTCTATTTCTTTTTTTTTCGTTATGGTAAATGTACTCTTTAATCCTCGTCATCCATCACCTATTTCAGCCATCCCCCCACCCACCTTCCCTCTGGTAACCACCAGTGTGTTCTCTGTATTAAGAGTCTGCTTCTTGGTTTGTCCTTTTTTTTTTTTTTGCCTTTGCTCATTTGTTTTGTTTTTAAATTCAACATGAGTTAAGATCATATGGTATTTTTTTTTTTAAGATTTTATTTATTTATTTGAGACAGAGAGAATGAGAGACAGAGAGCACGAGAGGGAGGAGGGTCAGAGGGAGAAGCAGACTCCCTGCCGAGCAGGGAGCCCGATGCGGGACTCGATCCCGGGACTCCAGGATCATGACCTGAGCCGAAGGCAGTCGCTTAACCAACTGAGCCACCCAGGCGCCCAAGATCATATGGTATTTGTCTGACATTTCACTTAGCATTATATTCTCTGGCTCTGTATGTTGTTGCAAATGGCAAGATTTTTTTTATGGATGAATATATTTTTTTTTTTTTAGATTTTATTTATTTATTAGAGAGCAAGCGAGAGAGAAACAGCATGAGAGAGGAGAGGGTCAGAGGGAGAAGCAGGCTCCCTGCTGAGCCGGGAGCCCGATGTGGGACTCGATCCCAGAACCCTGGGATCATGACCCAAGCCGAAGGCAGTCGCTTAACCAACTGAGCCACCCAGGCGCCCGGATTGTGTGTGTGTGTGTACATATAAATTTTGGTATATACATACACACCACATCTTTATTCATCTATTGGTGGACACTTGGGCTGCTTCCATGGTTTGGCAATTGTAAATAATGATGCAATAAACATAGGAGTCCATGTATCCCTTTGATTTAGTGTTTTTACATTTTTTGTCAGTGCAATTACTGGATCACAGGGTAGTTTTATTTTTAATTTTCTGAGGAACCTCCATACAGTTTTCCACAGTTGCTGCACCAGTTTGCATTCCAACCAACAGTTCAAGAGCACATCTTCACCAACATTTGTTGTTTCTTGTGTTTTGGGTATTAGCTATTCTGACAGGTGTGAAGTGATATCTCATTGCAGTTTTGATTTGCATTTCC